AAACAATCCAAAAGGGCATCCCTCTACGACGAGGGAAGTAGAGAACAGTACATTGACAGCCCTTGAAGCCTGCTGGCGGCTGTAAGTGCGTGTGGATAAGATCCATTCGCTTGGTCGTCCACAGGACTTTCCCTTCCTTGTTGACGAGTTGTAGCATTATCACTCACAGTAAATACAACTTTCAGCAAAGATCTTGACACCAAACTTGTTTTATCTTAGTCAACTGCGACGCATCATCCCTTGTGGTACAGAACGGAGGGTCTTCTCGAGTTGCATGCATCTGCATCTGAGTGGTTCACTACCAAAATCAAATTAACGAAATCACTTCTAGACAGTGAATTTTGCTACCGTAAAATGAGCAAGCTCGAATCACACTGGTGAAATTCAATCGGCATTCCAATTATAATATTTCTAAATACCGAACGCACGGTAGGAAGCCTAAAGAGTTCTGATGATAGCCTCACCTTACCTACATATTATAAGGCATATGCACAATCGCACGTTTATGCAGCTTTCAAATCATCGGTGCACCCTACATCGAAAACCGCACAAACTTCTATGCTCATCCGAAATTATGTAGATCTACCTAAAACGCGAAATTCACCGCAGATTCCGTTAGACTGTTCTTGCCAATTTGACTTGATAGAATACCATCCTATTAATCCCTTCAATGAAGCATAGCAAATTCACGCTCAAATGCCGATTAAATCCAGTAATACAAGCCTTACTCAATTGTCTACATAAAATCGAAACAGCTTTATCATCTTGCAAGCAAAAATACAACTGGACGTTGATGATGAAATTTTGAACAAAACAGTCTAGAACCAAATGCATCGGGGCTACTGGTGCTGAATGTGGCACCAGTTGATTGCGCCAGATTGCGCAGAACACTAAAGAGATGATTGGACGAAAGGTGGCGTGATATTAATGACGACCTTGACAATTCGTTCCAAACTAAACCCAGCACTAATGGTGTGGCAAAAATTGAGGACAAATGTTTGTAAAAATACCACGGGGCCAAGGAGTGAACTACCTGAATAGCATAACAAATACATGAAATGCTCACACCTTAGTTTTTGGCTTACCAATTAAGTACATACTTGCCAGTCACCAATCGCTTAAAACCTAATTTCTAGATGTTATGAAGTACGGGTGAACAGTATCAGAACCAGTTCATAAAATGCATAGTGCAGAAAATTAACCGCGCATCCACCTACATCACAACTTCCATAAGAACTAAAGGAAATACCTTCGTGTCGTCCCCAGAACTTGCGTTCAGAATTTCGCGCAACTCGTTTATTTTTCCATTGATGCTTTGACGATAACGTCTTTCAATGGCGTTGTGAGGCGAGCGTCGGATTGACTTGACATCATCGCTTTGCTCTAAAGTATATAAAAACATAAACAAATAATAATTACGTGACAAATTACACCCTTCCGCCTGAGGTTCCGCACGCGTATGCTGATAGTTTGTAGTATTCAATTGATTTATCGCAATCGGTAAAGTATCATTGAATGAATGCCCAGGATGACTGCTGGCGCAAAAAGGACCATCAACGCTATCAATTCCAGCACTTTGGGAAGAAAAGGCAAGGGATTTCTCCTGAATTAGTGCGTTTTTTAGTTGAGGGTGTTTTTCATATTCTTGAAGGTTGACTTGGGGAGGTTTGTAGGTTCCTGGTTCGATTACGCTATTGCTCTCCATATGGATTTGAGGAGCAGGTGGTACATAACCGCATGATGGATGTGGTTTCAAAAGACTAGCCAAAGTGCTGTTCTTTCTAGTGAAGTTTCCGTCTTTGATATCGTTATTCGACGACTGAGTTTCACAACCCATAAGCAGGAAATCAAGATCGACATCGTTTACAAAATCTGTTTGAAAGAGAGGAATTGCGTCAATATCCAGATCGTCAAATGCCGATGCAAACTCATCGTCAGGCGTCTTCGTCTCAAACTCACACATAACGCTAGCCGCACACCCACTCAAAACAATCGGGAAATATAGTTGTTAAAACATCAATCCTTTATCAAACACTATTCCTTTGCACAGGTTCGGTAAGTTCTATTAGTAAAATTGACCACAAAAAAGTTTTGAATTCCTATTTTTTCAATAATTTTTGGTGCGAAAAGGGCATTAACTGTTTTTGAAATCTTGCCCGCTTTCCAAATGACAACTGATTTATTACATATAATAAATCACTCTTTAATGCTTTTTAACACTCAGGGTCTCCACTAAAGCTTAAAAAAGTTCTTGCACTATGGCTGAACATACATTACTCTCGTGCCTAAGTGCTGAGGTTACTAGAATGGCCTGGATGAAATGCCAGCGTGAGGATATCCATTCTTCGGGGACTTAAGCCTCCGTGAAATCAACCGCAGTGCAGCACAAATTCTCCAGGCCCTAAAATGTTACCTGCTTATAAACACTATCCGTTTTCCAGAATTTCTCGTCGATGTATGTATGCAATTTCTTCCATTAACTTTTGGTTGAGAGCGTTGGATAATGTGTCATGGGTTAATCGTAGTCGTAGGTACGTTCAAAATTCATAAGAAAATGGGATTTACTCCCTTTTGAGGGGAAGGTAGCTTTGCTGAGATCGCGCCTTTGCCTAAGATAGGCACCTATCCTCTTCGAATGTGTAATAAAACGGGCCCGTATTACAGTATGTTACCTATTTATAACATTATGCCGTCCTTTCTACTGATTTGTTGTTTCTTTGTCCCACATAATTAATATTTTCTTTTCGGCAACTTGTTTTGCCAAAACGGTGAGCTGCTGATCATAATTTTAAATAGGGTTGTGTACAAGCAAGACGTAAGTTTTAACAACAGCAGCCTTCACGGTGGTCACACTTAATGGTTCCTTTGTGTAATCAGCGTAGTCAGAAGTGTCATGTGTGTCCTTATAAATAAGGATTTGTAAGATAATCTTTGCTAAAGCGCGATATTGCCTGTAATGCGTGATAATGAAGTAGTACTGCAAGGTTTGATATTTGTTTAGAATACATTTAAAACGCGGACTCCTCAGCCCCCATAAGTTAGGTTTCCGATTAGAGTCATGACCCTTTGACCATACTTATAGTCTCCCACGCCCTTTGTGTGTTAATAATGAGTCCTCTTTATTACGAATCCAGAGTAGACTTCACTTGCTACAGTGCCTATTATTTTAATGCTTGCCAATAATTTACGACGTTATTATTTTTCTTCACCTCAATGTCGCATCAGTTTTCACAAAACACAGTACTTTCTTTAAAATGACCTAAAGCAAACTCATTCAGAACGAACGGAAACATCCCACAATCCTGTGATCTTGTGTTTAGGGAGCTATAAAATCCATTTTACAGATATCAATGATTTTTTCCCCCTGACAGAAGCCATCCTAGTTCCTTTGGCTTTCTCTTTTCAAACTGCGTTCTGCAATTTGGCCACCTTCAGGGAAACCACTTCTCTGAAAATCGGATAGTCATCTAAGCCATTAACTCAAATGGGGTTGCCATTTTCTGCAGTTTTTTCAGTAAAAATAATGAAATAAGTAATCTTACCTCATCGCCTTATCTTGATCAAATCACTTCCGTGGTAGAAGAATCGGTTTTATCCTGCAAATACCTACTGGGTTATTTTGACCAATCTTTATTCATACTCCGCCTTGGTGGAGAATTTATCAAATACTAAAATCAATCCGCTAGCCTTTGCTGATCAAAATCAGCCATCGGCGAGTTCATCTTCTCCCGAGTTACCATTGAAGGCGCGCCGCAAACACTGAGAACGAATTAGTCTGTTTCAAATGTCCTACTTATTACGTAACCTTTGGCACAGAAAGAAGTGAGGTGAAAATTGTTCTAAGTTCTCTTGTATTCTAATAGCTGAAGATTTTAATGAGTTGTCGGCAGATGTAACAATCTTCACTGGCGCAGAAGATGATAATGGTCGCATATTTCTCTTAGATTCAAATGCAGTTGTTTTTTTGTAAGTGTAAGACTACCATTTGAAATGCGGATTTGATCTACACCCTATATTTTTAGTTTTAGCCTTAATGAATACAGCGAAAAATAACTTTTGGTATGCTAAGGAATTATCACATCTTGCTATGGAAGGCTGTACGCATTTCGAGGACAAATAATAATCTTTAAATAAAAATTTGGAAAGTGGTGGTTGTATTCAATAATGTGCTAAATTGCATGAAATATCCGGTTCAAATCAATTTCATGGTATCGCAAAGATAAATGCTTAGCGTTACCGTCTTCATTTTAAACATTCAAGAGTTCTACAATGCAAACAAGGTTACTCGGTCCCCAGAGACCAGTGACCACATTGTAAATCACTACCACGTTTTCTTATTCTTGATCAAACAACTTATTTAAGTTTGAAACGCAACTGTCTGTTATAGTCCAAATTTTATCGCATACAAATGCTAGATCTTTTAAAAAAGGCAAGAATCGCGTTATTTTAGGACGGATACGAAGTGTACCTAACGCAGCGCAAGTCAGAACGCCAGCTAGTAGTTGGTTCATGTTGTACAAGTAAGTTAGGGAAGGTTAAACACTCTGGTCATAAGTGCACTTAAGTAGTTGCCATTTCGATGTTACTGGAAGGTCTGGAGCGAGTCAAAAGTACGATATTTTTAGTAGTTCCGTAGCATTAATCAAATAACAAAGCATTAGAAGAAGAATTACTCCACTTAGGACGTAAATTCAAAATCTTTTTTTACCTTTGATGAAGCGACTTCCATTTTGGCGATTGCAAGTGTTCGGCACAGTGCTGGGACGGAGACGAAATGCTGAAGTCAAAAAGCTAGTGATGTTCCCCTGTGGATTCAGCATTAACATTGCGGATTCACGGGACAGTAGATCGCTAACTGCAACTGACTGGCTGCTGCAGTCAGTTGAACAAACTGATGCGGGAAAAGCGCCTCATTTAGCTATCATAATTAGTTGCGAATAGCCAAGACTCGGTTGCACACCAGTCGCACAAATAATACCATTTAAACCATAGACAATGGCTCTAGGTATTCTCTTCAATCAGCCGCAGTCATCCAACCTTTTGCCAATTTAAAGTGCGCTTCAACGAATTTGCATAAATTCCCGTAAGGAAATCTGCCCATCCTCAACGAGCTACTCATAAGAGGCTTCTGCGACTGGGTCAGCTCCTATCTCCAGGGCTTCCGCTGCAGCCTTGAATAAACTTTCCTAGGATGGATAAAACAGCTACAGTGATGGCTAAGTGCTTGCCTTGGTCATTAGTTGAGGTAGCGTAAAAAGCATTAGAGTTAGAAATGCTTTTATATCCGATACGCAATTTGTTCCAACACAATGCATTTGGTCAGCGTACATGGAGCGTTTAAAGCCGTCGCTTTGTAGTTAGTGGCACTTCAAATGGCCACGAGGACAAATGTCTATTCGATTTGAATTAAGGGCGTTATATTTGACGTCTTTATTTTTATAATTACTGGCCCTGTTAACCAAACAATTAACTCGTCAAGGTTACACAGTTGCTAAAATATTGGGGAATTCATTTTAACCTGCTGCTGAAAAACAAGAAAGGAGGTAGGTTTATTTAGTACAAAGGAGAAGAGAGGGGGTAAAAGCTTCATACAAAACTTTTGGTGATGTTACAAGCTCATAAAATCGTCCTTTTGTAAGAGTCAGGAAGAAAAAAATTGAATCGAGTGCGAATTCCTGAGAAAACTTCCACCACCGACACAATCAATGCCAGTTCATACGAAGCCAGGTAGAAGAAGGATTTTCAACCAAAGCATGATAGAGATAAAGACAATGGCATTAAGGAAATTGTTGCAGAGTCCGTTTCAATATTTACCGCTTGATTAAGCTATGACGACGCATATGGAAAACGTGATTTCTTATAAAAGTCAAAAATATAATGACGAAAGTTGAAATCAAATGAATAGTTTCCGAAAATTGAGGTAAGATGGGTGGCTGCCTGCAAATATGAAGGCACGGAAAGAAGCCAGTCACGCAAGTAAAGCGGCACGCTGCGAGACACATTGTTGTGGAGATTTGTATAGGCCGTCAAATTAACACCTACAATGAGAGTTTTTAGCACTGAGAACTGATGACTTAGTTACCAATATGTAAATGCATAACAGGGTACAAGTTTACTCAAGTTTATAAATAAGGCAGTACCCGTTGCTCATGAGCCGTTTCTACTTTCCACCGGGAGCACCTCATCAGATTCGACACCCTCATCAGTCATTGATCCTAGTGGTACTGATGTGTCCTTTCCTCTCTCAATCGCAGCCATAATTTCTGGAGCTGGTATCTGAGTCGGCATTTCTGGCTTCAATCCATTCGTATCTTTCTCCAACCCATTCAAAACAGACAGGTTCCTCCAGTTTGGATGGATACTTTCTGCCTCAGCATCAGCTATACTTGAAATATCCCTCGAAACCACTGGAACATCAACATTTTGATAAGCCGTGAAAGGATCATCCCCTGACACTATCGTACTGTTGGCCATGGGGACAAGGTTCCTGTTTACCAATTTTGTCGTTTCTCCGACGAAATTTGCTGCATCTCTAGAGGAGCTATTAGGAGGAGGAGGAGGAGGAGGAGGAGGAGGAAGAGTAGGAGGTCTACTGCTTTTGTTCTGCCCTATATCGTTAGATACAAAACCAGGTGAAGCTGTGGAACTGTGACTTCTTGAACGCACGTGGCTTTCCGCGTATGCGCTCGTAGAGGCGTTCTCATTCCTCGAAGCATCTCCAACTGTATCCAAATCTACCCTTTGAGTTCCATGGCCATACGTTCTTACTGTCGACTGCATATCAGTTGAGTAGGGCTCGAAGGCACTGCTGTGCCACCGTTCCTGGCCTGGCGTATACAGGAACTGTTGCTGCTGTGATTCATCGGTGTAGTCGGTCATGTTTGCATAAGTGTTACCCTGAGAGTTGTACATTGTAAAATAATCTTGCGATGCTGGGAAGTTCTGATACTGGTGGTAATGCGATATTGTTTGTGGTGTCTTGGGCGCCGTGTAATTCGTTGTCCCAGTATTATAAACCATGGGAGCCTGTGCGGGAGTATATCCGAGTGACTGGAAGTCAATTGGCGCATACGCTTGATTCTGAGGCTGACGTGGAGTGCCCTCACCACCCTGTGGTATGTCATAGATTTCGGAGTACAGTGGCGATAGACGAGTACGGAACCAGCAACTTCGGAACCAAGTCATTGTCAAATGCATCGACTCTGACAATTGTGCAAGCCGACCAGATGCTAGCGCAAGCTTATTCATGATATCAGAAACAGATTCGTGTTTTTCTGCCAATTGGTAACTCAGTGCGGCCTGAAATCGCTCCTGCATCACTGCAACTTTAGCCGAGTCAGACAATCCATGCCGGCCTAAAGTTGATAAGGGACTTATTTAACTCTCGATGTCAGTGCCTGCCCCCAATGGTTCGTAAAACAGACTACCAAGGCAAAGTAGGTGCCACTTGCCATCGTCCTCTTGGATTTTACTGCCAAAGATATAAACTAGGGTTTTGACTTTCACTTTCATTATATTTGACACGAATGTTGCTGAGCCAGCAAAATAAAAATCTGACCGTGATTCACTATTCGTCTGTTCCATTGCCACATGCCCTTTTGTGCATTGCCAAAACAGTTTTATTGAGATAATAACTACTAATTTCATTTTATGCCTATGTCCTGACTATCTTAGCATCAATAAATGATACCTAACTCACCAATGCAAGGATCCTATCAAAAGCATTTAATTTGTTCATGCTAAATCAAATCAGTGGCCAACTGTGAAATGAGAAATAATCGTGCTGGGAGGTGAAACTATGTGCAATGCTACACCCTTAATATTCAG